CAGAGTAAGCCACAGATGTATAAGCGATGTCGCTGTACACCTTCGTGCCCCAAGTCTCCTCATGCGCTCCATACAGGTCCTCCTTACCCTTACAAGAAGCGTCTCCATTGAAGGAATTGCCTTGCATACTTCTGGCGCCTAACCAGGAACGCAGAAACAAGGATCATAGAATTCGACGAGATGTCCAGCGAGACGTCACCTTTCGAAAAAGGACCGTTCCCCCATCCGTGTAACTGTTGCGCAAGTTCACACATATGGCCATGACCTCTGGGGGAGTTTAAATCGACAGCTTCATTTTGGAAAAGAGCGGCCATGTATGCGTAAAGCCATACGTGCGTTGAATTTTCGGGTCTTTACCGAAATCCCAGGCGTGAGCTCAAATTTGAAAATCAAGTCCCCATACTGCTATATTACCTCAAACAACGACTGCGCGCGGCGCTGAAGCGAGAGCCTTATTTTGAACATAGCAGCGCTCAGTCCTTGAAGCTGTTGCAAGATTTTGAGACGAATTCTTGCGGCGCTAAAGTGAGAGCACCACTTCGAAAGAGAACCGCCCTCCATCAGTGAATCGAGTGCAAAGTTGAAGCGAGTGTGCGCGGCGCTGAGGCCAAAAAACACATTTTGAAACCGAGTCCCCTTCCAACCCTGAAATTGCGGCATTCGTTTTTTCAGACGAACGCCCGCGGCGTTGAGGCGAGAGCCACGTTGTGAAAATGACACCCCATACATCCGTGAAGCTCTGATACGTTTTGGCAGACGAATGTGCGCGGCACTGCGGCGAAAACCACATTTTGAAAACGCCCGCTTCCATCCCCCAAACTGGTTGCACAGGTTGAGAAGGAATGTGCGCGGCGCAGGCGCCACAGCCGCACAATGACAACGACCCTGTCCGTGAAGCTGCTGCGAACCTTTAAGACGAGTGTGCGCCGCGTGTTGAAAGGGAACCGCCCCCCAGCCGTGAAGTTGTTGCAAGAGTGCGGAGGCGAGAGATAGACTTCGAACATTATGACAAAGAGTGCGCGCGGCGATAAAGCGAGAGCCACATTTTGAAGACCGGCCCTTTCATCCGTGAAACTGGTGCAAGTGTCAAGCTCCAAGATCATGCATGGCGAGGAAGTCTCGGGCGAAACGCCCGGCCCGCCCAACCGACTCTTCTGGGGGCGCGACAGGCAGGAGTTATCTATCAGGAGAAGGGATGGAGGAGGGTGAGGGAGCAGGGTGAGGCGGAGGAGAAACCGGGAGGACGAGGATGAGGACGACAACGAGGACGCCGACGTGGCGATGCGAACCAGGCAGAATAGACGAAAGAGAGGAGGATGAGGATGAGGATGAGGATGAGGATAAGGAGGATAAGGATGAGGATGCTAAGGAGGAGGATGAGCAGGAAGAACACAGGAGGAGGAGGAGACGGGCCGTCGTACTCGTCGTCGTGATCGTCGTCGTAGTCGTCGTGATCGTCGTCGTAGTCGTCACGTTCGTCGTCGGAGTCGTCACGTGGTCGTCGTGATCGTTTTTGTGAATGTCGTCGTAATTGTCACAGTCGTCGTAATCGTCATGATACTCGTGATCGTCGTCGTCGCGATCATCGGCGTGATCGTTGTCGTTGTCGTCGTCGTGATCGTCGTCGTCGTCGTCGTTGTCGTAGTCGCCGGCATAGTCGTCGCCGTAGTCGTCTCCTGGTCGTCGCGATCGTCGCTGTGAACGGCGTCGTAGTCGTCGTGATCGCCGTCGTTGTCATAGTCGTCGCCATGGCCGTCGTAGTCGTCTTAGTTGTCATAGTTGTCGTGGTCGTCCTAATTGTCGCGATCGTCGTGATCGTCGTCGTAGCCAGCGTCGTAGTCGTCGTCGTAGTTGTCCTGATTGTTATTGTAGTCGGGTTTACGTTGGTTGCGTGAATGTATCCATGGACCCATCGATCCCCCTTTTCCTTTTCCCCATCCTCCTCCTCCTCCCACATCCCTCCCCACATCCGAGGAGGAGCACGACACGAGGAGCACGAGGAGGAGGACGAGGAGGACGACAAGGAAGAGGAGCAGGAGGAGGAGGAAGAGGAGGACGAAGGGGGAGGGACGAGGGAGGAGGCGAGGGGTACCCAAACTATAGGGTTGATTACACCTCTGATATCGTTTGGTGCTCTGGAGGGAGTCTGGGGGGATGGAGGGGGGAGGAGGGAGGCGGGGGGGGCGAGGAAGGGGAGAGAAACGGGGAAGAGGGGTGAGGCGCAGGATCCATTGGTGGTTTTCGCCGTCACTGGCTTCCCTGACCGCGTGGTGGTCGCAAGGACGTTGTGGTTGCTCTTAGCCACCTGGCTGGTGTTCGCAGGCGTAGTGTGGCGTTCGTGCACTATTGTCGCACACAGTGCAGTGCTGTCAGGCACATCGCGGTGTTCGCATCGCAGGCGATTGTGGTGCTCACAGGCGTTGCGCGGTGTTTATGTCAGGTGCGACGCGGGGGGGGGGGGGGGGGGGGCGGAAACGCACCCTCTGCGCGCCTGGCAGAGCGTAGCTTTGCCCCCCCCGCCCCACTTAACATGTTGATGTTGTGTCTGGTATTCTACATTGCATCCTACACTTAGGGAGCCACGGGATGGATCACCATCATGAGCAGAAGCATGGCTGCCACGAGTATGGTGATCTACAGTGGTTTTAGATGGTTGGTACCAAGCCAGTCCTGAGATTCCCACTGGGCAACCCAGGCAGCCCCAGGATGCCCCAGGAGGACCCATGGTCTCAGGCGGAACGCACGGACCGAGCTACACGGCGCTGCGCAACACGCAGCACAGCAGTGCATTGAACAGTATACCGAAGTATGGCGCGCCAGCGCATAGCGCACATGTCCGAGCCGTGTTTGGCTCTGATTCTTACCGGGGTCGTGCATCTCTCAAGTTCTGTCCAAGAGGTCTCAGCGGCAAGGGAGATGGAGGTGCAAGTGGAGGAGGATGACCAGTCAAAGCAAAATTGGGATCGACCAAATCAGTCCCAACGAATGGCCCACTTAAGGTTGGTGGCATCCCTTTTGCAGGAGCTGGAACCGTGTATTTATTGTATTCGATCGTTTTTTAGATTCCATTTTCTCGTATGATCGTATGATCGTGTCCCTTGCCGTCTGATCGTCTTTTGAGTGCTGTATTAGTATATGTGTGATCGTCTAGATCGTGTTATCGTCCGACCGATCGTCTTCAGATCGTACTGTATTGTATTGTATTGTATTGTATTGTCTTTTACCATCTTAGGCGAGATAGGCGGAGCGCTTGCTATGTACAACTCTGCCGGTTCTGGCTCAAGTTTTGGATCGAGTGTCGCGCAAGGCTACGATGTATGATGGTCTTCGGTTGGTGCAGTTCATGATGCAAACGAAATATGCCTGAACTCTCGTGCCAATTGTCTGCTACCATTGACAATGGCGGACAACAGTTCAGAGGTTGCTAGTTGTGAGGGCCTTGAAGCCAGCCCTGTTGGTATTGGCAGTGACGATGGTTGCGAGACCAGCAGCAGTGGCAGCACCAGTTCTAGCTCTGACAGCGCCAAAGCAAAAAAACGAGATAAGAAAGAGAAGAAGCTCATGAAAAGGAATAAAAAGATGTTGAAGAAACTGAAGAAGCTGAAGAAGCTGGCCAAGAAAGAGAAAAAGGTTGCCAAGAAGGAAAAAAAGGCAGAGAAAAAAGAGAAGAAGAAGGATAATTTGAAAATCCTCGCAGCGATGTCGGTTGCAAATTCTCTGCATCCAGACGCCATGCAAGCCAGGAGACCAGCCGCCTTCTTGGAGAGCATGCTCGCAAAAAAGTTGCCCAGGATACGTGCGAGCGAACTTCCTCCCTCCATGTGTGGTCAGATGCCAGATTTGCCCCAATCAAGAGGACTGGGAATAGACAAATGGGGCAAGCCTGCCAAGCCGCATGTGAATGGCGTGGCACAAGGCAAACTAGAGGTGTTCCGTTGTAAGGGATGCGAAATAGATTGTTCTGGGGAGGCAAGCTTCTTGCAGCATGTACAGGGCAAGAAACATCGTGCAAAATCAGGGATCGGTTTTGCTGGCTTGCTGCCGAACGAGATGGGAGTCATACCAGTGTTGTCAGATTATGCCCAGCAGATCCTCGGCAGAAAGGCTGCTGCTCTTGCAGCAGTGCAGGCTAGCAATCCAGAAATGCAAGAGCTGCAGGCTCAGGATGTTGATGTTGACTTTAAAAAGATAGCCACTGCAGTGCAACGGCTTCAGCTCATGCGCTGCACATCCAGGTCTCGCTCACGCTCTCGCTCACCCCGACGCTTGCAGATGCACAGACACCGCGAGATAAAGCCACTTGCCCCCAAACTAATCGACATCGAGGTGCAGCAGCATGTGAGGTCACGCAGATGTCTGCCAATGCAACAACACCGAGAACAGTTACTAGAACTTGTTGGTGACCACCAAGTTGTCATCCTGGAGGGAGAGACTGGCTGTGGCAAAACCACCCAGGCACCTCAGTACTTGCTAGAGGAGGCAGCGCAGCTCCGACGCCCTTGCCGCATTCTCTGCACCCAGCCACGCCGTTTAGCAGCTATCGGCGTGGCAACGCGTGTAGCAGAGGAGCGTGGGCCTGCAGACAGCGAGCTTGGCGCCACTGTTGGTTATGCAGTGCGAGGTGAAAGCAAACAATCAGATTCCACTTGCTTGTTGTTTTGCACTACAGGAGTGGCGCTGAGGCGCCTGCAGACAGACCCTCAGCTGTCAGACATCACTCACGTTGTCATGGATGAAGTGCACGAGCGATCGCTGGAGTCTGACCTGCTACTTCTGCTGCTCAGACAGCTCTGCGCCAAGCGAAAGGATTTACGATTAGGGGAACAAAAATTGGCATAAACGTAAAAACTCGGAGGTCCGCGCGGATTTCTCGGATCGGCGCTGGACCCCCCTCCCTGGCGCGCGGAGCGCGCCAGGGGCGGCGCCGGAGGCGCCGCCTGGGGGCCCCAGCGCCGATCCGAGAAATCCGCGCGGACCTCTGAGTTTTTATGTTTATGTATTTTTTGTCATTCCCCTAACGATTGCTGCTCATGAGTGCGACCATCGACTCCGACCTCTTCGCCGACTATCCGGCCGCGCCGCCGCGCACGTCTGCCCCCCTTAGCGCTTGCGGCAGCCGCGCAGCCGGGCCGCAGCAACGCGAGCGGGCGTGGCGCGCTCTATGGCTCCTGCGATGCGTAACACTTGGCATCGAGGAGGAGGAGGAGGAGGAGGAGGAGGAGGAGGAGGAGGAGGAGGAGGAGGAGGAGGAGGAGGAGGAGAGGAGGAGGAGGAGGGAGGAGGGAGGAGGGAGGGAGGAGGGAGGAGGAGGAGGAGGAGGAGGAGGAGGAGGAGGAGGAGGAGGAGGAGGAGGAGGAGGAGGAGGAGGAGGAGGGAGGAGGAGGGAGGAGGAGGAGGGAGGGAGGAGGCGGAGGGAGGGAGGAGGAGGAGGAGGAGGAGGAGGAGGAGGAGGAGGAGGAGGAGGAGGAGGAGGAGGAGGAGGAGGAGGGGGAGACTCCGACGTGTGCATGTTTTCTCGGCAAGGGCCGTCGAGGAGCATCTGTGCTCACCTGGCGAACACCATGCGCGCACGAAACCGGCAAGAGTGCGCGGGGCATGGGCGTCCGAGCGGTGGCGAGATCATGGATCTGGGCCTCCCCGATGGGGTCGGAGGATCGCGCCGCGTCGCCGATGATGAATCGCAGATGCGGCTCGATGTGCAGCCCGATCCGCTCCGCGTCGACGTCGCCGGTGCATCGCCGACGTCCACGATGCATCGCCGGTGCATCACCGACGCATCGCCGATGCATCGCCGATGTGTCGGCGTTGCGGCGCGGTCCTCCGACCCCACAGGCTCCGATGCCATCTACAGTCAAGCCGCGGAAATAAGGAACGCTTTGGGCTCAGGAGGGGCTCGGGTTTTTTGGGCCGTTCCTTAGGTCTAGGTGAGGCTGTTTGCGGCCGAGGTTCGCCGCGGCCCAAAAGCCTCTTCGTTCCTTGTCTGGTGTGCCTTATGGTAGGACTACGACTGTAGGAGGCTTCTAATCTCAGGAGGAAAAAAACACACAGACACAATGAATCGTCGATCCCCCAGAAATCAAATAGGGGAAAAATATGGGAAGTGGGGGGGAAGACAAAAACTTAGAAAATATGGGAAAATATGGGGAATCTGGCTATTTGTGTCTATCTATTTGTGTGCGTCCCGGCTCCCCTTTCACTATGGCAGCACTGTGACTGTAGGAGGCCTCTCATCGAGCCGCCGTGTCGCGGAAGCCACGGCGGGCCCCTCCTCCCTGCGGGGAGCTGCCGCCGGGCCGCGGAAGAGGGAGGCCTCTCTCGGAAGCTGGAGCATCTTCAGGAGTGGAAAAAACACAGACACAATTAATCGTCGATTCCCCCGAAAATATTGGAAAAGATGGGTAGGGGGGAAGACAAAAACCTAGAACATATGGGACAATATGCTTATTTGTGTGTATTTATTTGTGTGTCCTGGGGCCCCTTCACATCTGCACCACCGGTGGCGGGCTGTTTTTCGATCCCAGGACTTTTTCGAGGGTCGTAGACGGCGTCGGGGTGGTGTGGTGCATACTTTTTCCCCGTTTTCCGGGAGGGACAACGAAACATAATTACACCAGGATCCCGTATGCACCAGGATCCGTTTTCCTGTGCAAGTTTCAGTGCAGGGCCGAAGAAAGCGTCTGTGTATCGAGTTCATTTCGTTATCCAGTTTGTCTGAGCTTGTCCTCAGGCTTTCGGTGGGATATCGAAGCCTACCTTATGGAACAAAAAAGGGCCTCGCTCCAGCTTTAGAATTCCTTATGACAGCGTTTCGACCGTAGGCCGCAAATCTCGCGACCATGGGGGGGAGGGGGAGGTGGAGGGAGAGGCAGGCACACATCACGCATCTACGCTAGGTGTTTGAAAGATGTTGGCCTCTGTTTGCGGGTCAGGTCGGCTGTGCGAACGTGGGCACGGAGGAGACATCAATATTAGCAGTCGCATTCGTCGACGTCGTTTGCTGGGTGTGTCCAAGCCCCCTTGGGGGCCTCTTGGGGGCCTCTCAGGGGGGCTCCTGGGGCCTCTTGGGGGCCTCTCAAGGGGCCTCGTGGGGGCCTCGTGGGGGCCTCGCGGGGGCCTCGTGGGAACCTCTTGGGGGGCCTCTTGGGGGCCTCCCGGGGGCCTCTTGGTGGCCTCGTGACTTTTGGGAGGCTGCTGCTTGGGGGCGTGGCATCTTGAAACTCCTTGAGGCGTCTTGGAGGCGTCGTGGGGGCCTCCTGGACCGTCTTGGGGCGATCTTGGGGGCATGCTGGGAGCATCTTGGACGCTGCCACCAAAAAGACGAAAACGCTAAACTTGCACGAACATGTGTGTGTGTGTGTGTTTGTGTGTGTGCGTGCGTAGTTTAACTCATTCCGTCTCCTAGGGGCGTCCTGGCAGGCCTCTTAGAGCCCTCTTGGCCTTTCTGGTGGCCTCTTGGGAAGGGGGTGGTGGTTCGCCCCCCTTACGTTTTTGAGTTTCTTCCAGAGCGCTGGATTTCAGCGCGGCTGTTCTGCAGGTTTGCAGTCTTCTGATTCGCCAATGCGTCGTTTGAGCGCTGGGCATGACTGGCACAGTGACTTTTGCGCCGGGGGTCATGGGGGGGTTCTGGCTCTCCGGGTTCTGTGCGGGAGTTAGGACCACGGGCGGGCTAGGGGGGAGGCCTGGTTTCGGGGCGCCCCTTCGGGATTCTTTTCGGAGGGGGGGTGGCTGGGGCTGGTTTCGGGGACACCCCCAAAGAAGTTTCCGTCAGTCAACCGACAGTGGAATGCTCTCTCTCTCTCTCTCTTTCTCTCTCTCTCTCTCTCTCTCTTTCTCGGAGCAACACATAGTGCGTGTTGGGTTGGAAGCGTCGGCGAGCCCTGATTGTTGCTTCGCAAGAAGCGACAGCTACAAAACACGAGGGCCCGACACATCTATACACACACACGCGCGCGCACGCACGCACGCACGCACGCACACACGCACACACGCTCGCACGCACGCATGCATGCACGCACGCACACACACACACGCGCGCACACAAGCACACCCAAACACACACACACACACCCACCCACACACACACATACACACACAAACACACAAACAACACACACAAACAAACACACACTCACAAACACACAAACACACACACAAACACACACACACACACACAGAAACACACACGCACACACACACACACGCACACACACGCATACGCACACGCACACGCACACGCACACGCACACGCACACGCACACGCACACACACACATACACAGACACACAGACACACAGACATACAGACACACAGACACACAGACACACAGACACAGACACAGACACACACACACAACCAAAACAAGCACACACACATACACACGAACACACAGACACGCAGAGACACACAGACACACAGACACACGGAAACACAGACACACACAGACACACAGGCACACACATTTTGCGTCGGCGGGTGGGCAGAGGGCGACTGCCCCGGCGGACAAGCAACAGGGGACACGCTGTATGCAAGCTGAGGCCGCGATGCACGGAAGGAGGAGGAGGAGCCCCGGCGCGACAGGAAGAGAGGAAGCCGGGTCATCAGAGCTGCCGGCTGCGGCGGGGGGTGCACCGAAGGGGGGAGCAGCGTCGGAACAGGGCTGCGTTGGGCTGCACTGAGATGAAGCTGTGGGGAGGCAGCCTGAAGCCGCAGCTGGTGGTGGGAAACACAACGAAGCAGAGCCCAACCCAGTGGACCGAGTACAGTCCAGGGGTGGGCCAGTGCGCCGAGACCTGCGGGCCTGCGAGGCGCGTGCGAAGAGACGGAATGCGGAAAGGCGTGATTGGGCAGCCCCAGCGGCGGGCGACGCGCCGCAAGCAGGCGCACGGGCTGGCGCTGGGCAGCACTGAGCTGGACAGAGCTGGAACTGGTGCTGAGCGGCACTGAACAGTGGCTGAGGATGGAATGCCAAAGAGGCAGAGCCCAGCCCAGTGGACCAGGGCACGGCCCAAGGATGAGCCGAAGCGCCGAGACCCGTGGGCCTGCGAGGCGCGGGCGGGGTGGGTGGGAGGCAGGCGATGGCGCCGCGCAGCCTTGAGCGGTGCAGAGCAGTGCGGGAGCGGCCCAAGAATGACGGCGGTAGGGGGGGAAGACGAGCGCTCAGAGCCTCGACCCGCGCCGGCGGGGATGCGCCCCGACGTCGACGATGGCGGGGGGCGCCGAGACCAGGGGGACCAACGAGTCCAGCCGTGGAAAGAGAAACTGCCTGGCGGGGCGCAACGGCGCGGCAGCCAGGGCAAAGAAGGAGCAGGGCAACGCCAAGTGGGGGAGCGGCGGGCCCAGGGCGCAGGCAAGACGAGAGAGAAGGGCGACGGCAGCGAACGCCAGCTGGAGGCGGGAACGCAGGAAGGCCACGCCCAGTGGGGGAGCGGCGGGCCAAGTGCGGCGAACGGGTGGGCCCTGAGGCGGAGAGCTCACTGGGTGCCAACCGACAGCGGCGAGGTGCCATGGGGGCAACGGCGGCCAGACACCGGTAGCCGGCGTTGGGGAGGTGGCCAGAAAACCAGGCAGGTGGGGGGACACGGGCAATTTAGCGAGCGTCGCTTGGCCGACGAAGCACGGCAAGGGCCAGCGGGGCGCCGCAGGCAGGGCCTGGGCAAAGCTTGCAGAAGGCCTAAGAGGCGGGGGGCGGCGCCGGGGCAGGGCGCCCCAAAGCGGGCGGGGGGGGCGGCCTGGAGGTCGCGAGCAGGCGGCGAAACCAGCCTGCTGTGCAAGACAGGGCCCGCCCAGAAAACGGTGGCAGTGGTGGGGACCGGCCATGCGCCGGCAGCCAGCGAGACCCCACGCACGGGCGTGATTGCGCCACCCGGCGCGAAACCGACGCTGGCGACTGCGGGAGGGGGCATGCCCCGAGCGAGATCTGGAGGCTGGCGGGGGGGGCAACCGAACGAGTGCACGATGAAAAGCGGCCACAAGGGCAGGGGGGGGGCGGCGGGCAGACCCCGAGCGAGGGCTGGGGGCTTGCGGGGGGGCGCCGAGTAGGTGCGCGATGCGGGAACGCCACGGTTGCAAGGAGGGGGGGGGCAACGGCCAGAGAGGTCACTGCCAGGGCGGGGGCGTCAATCTCAGTGCAGGACGTGGTGATAGGGCAGCTTCCCAGACACTACCAGCGGTGGCTGCTGGAAGCTGACCTGCGCTGGCGGGAAGGGTCGTTGCTGGGCCAGGAGGAGTCCGCCGGCCGCTTCCTTTCCCGTGCGGCGGGGCACCCTTTCTTGTGCCTTTCGCGAGCTCAGCACTGCGTCTCCGCTTGTCAAGTTCGCGATGCCACTCGGCGTGTCAATCGACCTGTATGCTTTAATTCCGGCGGAGTCTGCGCGCGTCGCAATTGGCCTCCCTGGTGTCACGCACGAAACCTCGGCACAATTCAGAGCTATGACGCTGTGGGTCCTTGGCAGAGTGGGGCCCGCACTCCTGGTCGCAGATGGCATTCCACCCGATGGCGAGCATGGGGCCACATTCTTTCTTGAGGCGGTTGATCGCCGCTCTCCAGTCCTCCCTTGCGTTGTTTCGGTGCAGGGTCACCTGGTGCCTTGGCTTGTAGTAGAGCCCGTCATTGTTGTCCGACTGAGGCGCGGGCAGCGTGAAAGGGGGCGGGCGGCGGGGTTCCGGGCTCGTGTCTCCAGGGCGGGGTACTTTCCGCTGAGCCTCGTCCGCGCCACCTCAGGGGTGCGCCTGGGCTGCGCTGTTTGCCGGTCCTGGAGGTTTTGCGCGCTGCTTTTCTTCTGCGGTCTGCGAAGCGTTAGAACTGGGCTGATCTGCCAGTGGGGCCGCAGCGCGGAGCCCGGGGGGGGGCGCGCCGACCGTTGGCTGAGAGGAGTTGCCGGGGCTGCGCCGTCGCCCAGAACGCCCGCCAGCCGGATTGTCGGGG